AGGGAAAGATAGAGAGGATAGATTTCATAGTTGTATTAATGACATCTGTTCGATTTTTCCTTCAGTATCTTGACAGAAAATGGCTAGAAGTCTCAAATGTGTAACACATAATTGATATGTTATCTGATTACAAATGAAAAGTACTTTCACTGCATGTATACCTTGCCTATTTGATCTGCTAAGTTCTGACCGTTTCTTGCAGAAACATGTTCTTTCTATTGATGGGCCCGTCGTAAGTGCAGCAGGATTCAAAGATGAACTTGCAGTCATTACTCATGTTTCAGATTGTCTTCCTTCAAATTCACAGGTGTCAACTTTTTCCTGGTTGGTCTTATTTTATTCTTCTCATGGATTAACCTGGCAGCCCCTTCATGTCCTCTCAGTGTATCAGGGAGAGCATTAGATAGATGTTTGGATCATGAGAAAACACCACAAGACAAAAAAAAAAAAATCTAGTTACCTTCTATGTTCACTTTGATGGCAAATTTAGTTACATATGATTACACTCTCATTGTAAGGTCACTATGAAATCTCGGTTGAAGCCTGACATAGCTTGCACTTTCTTATCGTATACATCTTTTAAAACGGAAATGTGCAGGTGATGGAATTCAAAGTATTTAACATCACTACTATGAGTCAGTCCTCTAAGGGTCGCGTTCCTTTAACCCCTGGTTCAAGTCTAACATGGTTAGGATTCAGTGAAGAAGGTCTTTTAAGCACTTGTGATTCTGAGGTGAGCTTTCTTGCATTGTTGTCCACTCATTTGCTACTGTTCGGCAGTCTGTATATTGTAATACAATTGAACTAAACTTTTTTCCTCTAGGGTGTGTTGAGGGTCTTTACGAACCAGTTTGGCGGCACATGGATCCCAGTTTTCAGGTTGATTTCCACTGTTTCCATCTTTGACATGTTCCCTTATTTCTGAACTCTGAAGATTGTTTCAAGGCCTTGTTGGTGATTATAACATCATATTATGCAGTGTCAGTAAGGAAAAGAAACAACATGAAAACTACTGGCCAGTTGGTCTGAGCTCCAGCAATTTGTATTGTGTAGTTTGTAAACACCCTTCGATTTTCCCCCAGGTATATTGTAGCCATCAAATTATTCTATTCAGATATTAAAAAAAAAAGATTGGCTGTCTCATTTTTCTTCCTTCCAAATCAGGTGACTCCAAAACCAGTTCTTACCGTACTTGACTTCTGTCTCCCACTTGCATCCTCGGATTTGGGAGCAGGATCCTTAGAGAACGACTTAATGCTAAAGCAGCTTCGTCTTCATGAGGTTTTTCACATTCTCCTTCCCTCTCTACTTTGCAGTAAGCTGTAAATTTCCTACTATCATTCGAGTTTATAAAGCAATGGTCTGGTTATTCTCCCACCAGTAATGAAATCTTTAGTTTGGCTTAGCAACATGGGTAGATTTCAACACGATTTCTGCTGACTGGTATCGGGGATACAGTACCAAAATCTTTAACCAAGTTCGAATCTGAAAGATTTGTCCTTAATCTGACTCCCTTTTCATCTCAGATCCAGAGAAGATTAGACGATATGGATTCTATCGGGTTGGACACTACTGCACTTGACGATGAAGCTTTCAACCTCAAAGTTGCTCAAGATCAGTGCATACTAAGGCTTATTGGATCTTGTTGCAGTAGTAAGTAGAATATCTACACGTCATTGTCATTTACTGCAGCAATTGATGAGATGTCTTGGTCTCCTGTATTAAGATTATATGCTCTTTTTTCCTTCAGGCGACAAGTTTTCAAGGGCCAGCGAACTTATGCAGCTTTTATCGCTGGAAAAATCGATGAGAGCAGCGATAAAACTCGTTACCAAACTCAGGCTTCCAAATTTGGCAGAACGATTCAGCAGCATACTCGAGGTAACAACATGAAAGCTAGATATATACTTAGAACTTTTCTCATTCCTTCTATTTTTCGGGATTGGTAAAAATGAGGGGATGGGTATTTATAGCCATCCTTACAACTATTAATATCAAAATTTATAATAAAATATACTATTTTGTATATTTTATCGTAGTATCAACATTTATAATATAATTGTCTAGATTTTTTTACTAAATTCTTCTATAAATTGGATCAATGATAAAAAAAATCTTATGGAACATTAGTTTGACCCAAAATAAAACAACAATAGCATCGTCTTGATTCCAAGTTTATTTAGGGTCGGCTGGTCGTATGAATTCTTCTTTTTCCATTCATTTCGGTTTTATATCATATCCTCCGAGATTTGCAACACATCCAAATGAATTTTTAATGATTTGTTCTCAAAATAAAACATTAGCTCAAAAATCAAGTTTAAATTTAATAAGATCAAGAGGTTCCAAACTTCCAATTCCGTGAACCATTCTATTTTTAACGATCTATCAAACATTGTTTGGATATTAACAGGAAAGGATGCTTAAAGAAGCTAACGAGGCGTCTGAAACGCCATTGCAGAACTCTGAAACCACAGAGAAAATTCCTTCAGCTCCAATTCAGAGAAGTGAAGATACAGCGACTGTTGTTGCATCTTCTACACCAAAGCTTTCTACAGCTACACTTGTGAGGAAACCCAAAATTTCAGAAGTGACCAAACCAAGCAAGGAGCAGGAAACACAGGGAGGCCAAACTAAATATGCAAAAGGCTCCTTCAATCTGTTCTCAAAAGCAGTGGAAAAGTACCAAGAGAAGGGAATGGAAGTCAATCAAGAAGCTCCTCGTCGTACTTCCAATCCATTTCACAAAGCAACCGTTAAGTAATGTTTTTTTGTTTTTTGTTTTGAGATTTAGGAATATAATATAGTGAATATATTAAGCCTTTTCTTTCAATAAAAACTCTTTTATGATGATGATGATATAAAGCGTGTACTTCAACTAAAACTTTATGTTTTTTTTATGATGATGATCGGTCCATCGTCGCGATTGCAGATTTCAGCCTGAGTTTTCTTCGTTTGCATGATCCGATTTCATGTCGATTTTATTCTAGATTCTTGACCAATCTTTGCTAGATATGTTCTATATTCATCACACTTATAGAAACACCCCTTTCCTCCATTGAAGCGTGAGAAATTAATTGGTATTTGAATAAATTGGTGCGGGTTTATGTCATTTTATAATAACCCGATAATAAATGAGTAAGATAACCGGGATATGAACCCGTCGGCTCAACAAGATATTTTACTCAAATGAACTATTTGAGTCATACGAATTTCACCGATACACCTTTAACAATTTTATAACCGAGAAGATCAGTATCCTCCAAATTCCAACAGTCTCCGCAGGAGACCTGGAGCCAGAGAGTTCAAAATTCAATCCAGGTATGCCAACGGGTTGGTAATCCAAAAATCCACCCCAGCGGAATTCCCCTCGTTGAAATTCCTATGGAGTCTTTGGAATCGTCTGCAGAAGAATGGGCAGATTTTGTTGTAGGTCAGTTTTATGGACTACCTCCATCTATGGGAAGAATAATTGGTGTCTCCAACGCTATGTGGTCGCGTAATGGTCCGAAGGTCAGAGTACAAGATGTCGGAAATGGTACCTATCTCTTCAAAATGCCGAATCGCCGCTCCAGAGATCTGGCAATGAGTAGGCAAATTTGGCATGTAGGATCATGCCCTATGTTCGTGTCGGTATGGAGCCCCTATCATATAGCTACGAAGCCGACGCTGACCTCGATCCAAACGTGGGTATCTTTTCGGAATTTACCACACCAGATCTATACCACAGACTGCCTCAATCGGATTGCTACTGCCGTTGGGCGCCCTCTATACCCAGATAAAACAACAGCTGCAAAGGAAAATGTCATGGTTGCCAGGATTCTTATAGACGTCAATTTGCAATGTGTTCCACCAAAAAATGTAGTGGTGACATTACCGGGCGGACAGGAACACATCATCGACATTTACTATGATTGGTTACCTCCTATATGCAGTAAATGCTCGGAACTAGGGCACAACCACAACCGTTGCCCGCAATCTCCACCGTCTGTTGCATGTGATCAGCCTTATGAAAGTGAGAAACGGATGCCTGAATTGCCAGTGCCAGAATCACGACAGGATGAAGCAAGGAAACAGCAAGGACAGACACGACAGCTCTCCGGCGCCAGGCAATCTGAGCTGGACCAACCACAACAAGGACAACCATCGGCGGTGGCTCCGTTAGCCACGGCTTCGAACCAACCATCAACGGCAAGAAGCTCCCAAGATCAGCCGCCAGTGGCGCCTCTGCTGGCCCTAGTATCAGGGACTAGTGGTATCTTAACCACCGACCAAAACCCGACCGAGAATGCGAACACTGTTGCTATAGCCACCCCTGTAACTAGCAAATGCAACCCGACCAAATCAGATAACCAGGGATTTACGGTGGTTACTAGGAAGACTCGTGGCCAAGGGGCCACGAGAAGAAACTGATTTTTCCTTTTTTTTAAGGATTCCCATGATTTTTGCCTGGAATGTAAGGGGCTTAAATGCCCTAAATAAGAGTTTTTTGACACGCAAGTGGATAACGGATAATAAGCTTCAGATCGGAGCACTTTTGGAGACTCACATTCATGAAAGGAATGTTGAGAGAATTACAAATGCGATACCAGTGGGCTGGAAACAAGTTTGCCACTTCGTGGATCAGAGTTTGGGTAGAATCTGGATAGTATGGGATGCGACAATAAAGGTCATGATATACAGCTTCTCGAATCAAGCTGTAACCTGCGGCATAGAGGACAGTCGACGGAATATCAGACTTACGGCAACTTTTGTCTATGCAGCCACATCGGTGACTGAAAGAAGGAAATTGTGGGACGAGCTAAAAATCCTTGCTACTTATCAACCACTACAGCAGTCCCCGTGGATAGTGCTAGGCGACTTTAATCAGGTCCTTACTGATGGGTCGCACGGGAACCTCGAGCATCGGTTCACAACCGGTCTCGGGTCTGGTCCGCGGGTTTACGCAGCGGAAATAGCATTCAAAACATTTTTGAACACCCACGGACCAAGCCTTTCGATGAAGAGCTTTCTTGAGAGAAAAACTAACCTTTGATTCACAATCTGGACGAAGTTAGTTGATCACAGCCTAGGTGTTGAATGAGCCAACACCCTCTTGAGCAGTCCACACCTTGGAATGGATTCCAACACTTGGAATCAAGCTTGCTAGAGCTCAAGAGAACAATTCTCTTGTGTATGGAGTTCAAGAACACCTTCTTGATCTCTCTATCTCTTGGGAGAGTTTTTCTGTGTCTCTCTAACCTTCCAAAGGTCAGAGGAGTCGAGACTAATCAATCTCACGCGTTCCCCACCTGTTTCCACTAAGAAAAGGGCGAGAAAAACGTGATTTCGGATTTGTCAGTGTCTTGGTCCGGGGCTGACCAACTCTTGGTCAGCCGGACCAAGAACACGTGACAAATCTTTGCC